CCCTCTTCCCACCCCCCAACTATTTCTGATTGTGTTTCTTTAGGGAATCTCTGCTACTTCTTTAGTTAGATTTCTGTCGCTTTTGAATTGTTCCTCGTTTTATATTTGCCTAACGTTTTGACACCAAAGTTTCAACGTTCGCACGATCATTTTATACGGCTATAGAAGATGTTATATTATTGGCAGTTTCAAACTATTCACAGTAATTCTCTAGACACTTTTTCTTTGAGACTAATATAAAGTGTAACAGCAAAATATGAATTGATCCTTCTGTCTGAGGAGGTGAACGACCATGAAGCAATATAGAGATAAGCGGGGATAATCTGATTGATCTCTTTATTTAACTTTCCCTGTAAAAATATTACTTTATTGCAAGCAAAGAATGGGATGCAACAGCTTGTTCATACTCCCTTACACATTGATCATATTATTGCTTGATATGAAAGTTTCGCTTTTTTCTTTTTAAACTAGTGTGTTGAACAAAAAGTTCAATGGTATAGGTGGGTATGAGCTGAAAGAATCCATAGCAATGGTAGCATAAATAATTCATACCTTCTTTAAATATAATATGCTCAATTGGGGGATAAACTAAGTGTGAACTGCTTCCCTTGAAACAAAGGAAAGGTGGAGTAAACCGACGCTTTGTGAATTTAATTAACGCATGGAATCTGGTGACAGACGAAGCTTTATATTATGGATAAATTTGCCACGTTGTTATCACACTTTTCAACGAATGATTACAACTGGCAATTTTATTCTCACTCAAACATACACTCACATACATACACAAATGCACACACAAACACACACACACACACATACACACACACGCACACACATACACTCACACACATGCACATACACATACACTCACACACATGCACATACACACATATACACATGCACACACAAACATACATTTACACACATACACACATTCACACATACACACACATTCACACAAATGCACACGCACATACACACACACATACAAAATCACAAACACATGCACACAGATGAGCATACACACATACATACATGTGTGCATTATATAAGTTTCTCTTCCTCCCCCCCTCTCTCTCTCTCTCTCCCTCTCTCTCTCTCTCTCTCTCTCTCTCTCTCTCTCTCTCTCTCTCTCTCTCTGCGCGCGCGCGTGTGTGTGCGTGTTTGTGTATCTGTCTGTGTGTGTCTGCGTGCGTGCGCTTGTATGTGTGCGGGCACGTGTGTGCGTGTGTTTGTATAATAATAGAATTGGTGCTTTGTAGCTATTTGAAGGGATTACTGTTCGTTCGAACAGACAAACAAACAAAATACAATATTACGATAAGTTAATGGTTCTATTTTGTACTCTTGGTCTCAGAACCCCTGCAATTGTTGGTGGACTTTTCTCTGTGGACAAGGAGTACTTCCAGTACATTGGCTCCTATGACTCGGGTATGGACATCTGGGGCGGAGAGAATCTGGAACTGTCATTTCGGGTATGGATATCTCGAGAGCTGAGAGTAATTGAGTCAATGTGTATTTTTAATCAAATAAATGTCATATACTTGCGTCTATAGCTTGTATATACGTATAAATAATAAAAATCGGAGAGCGCGTTTCCTTTTATGAAATTGAATGTATGGCGGCCTTTGTGTGCATGACTGCATTCATGCTCATGCATGTATGTGTGTACACATATGTGTATGTGTTTGTGCGCGCGTGTGTGTGTTTGTGTGTGTGTGTATTTGTGTGAATAGTATGTTTGTGTGTGTTAGTATGTATATAATGCAAATGAACTGTACTAAAAGGGTAGTTTGCGGCTGTGGTTTGGCAGCCCACTTCACACCACGAGTGCCATTACTATGTTCCTTTTTTAATGAAAAAGGAACTTCTCAGAATTGTTTGTTTATTGTTGCTCATGTCTTGACAAAGAACCATAACCCAGCCTTACATACGTTGTCAAACGTCGTACTTTTCATTTCTTGATACAATGCAACAATACAAAACGTTTTCATGCTTTGGAGTAATCTAGCAATACAAACTTTGTCATATTGAGGCATAATCTAGCAATGTAAACTTTGTCATATTTAGGCGTAATCTAGCAATGCAAACCTTGTCATATTTAGGCGTAATCTAGCAATGCAAACTTTGTCATATTGAGGCATAATCTAGCAGTGCAAACTTTGTCATTTTTATGTATAATCTAGCGATACAAAAGTAGTCCTTTTTAGGCATAATCTAGCAATACAAATGTTGTCATTTTTAGGTATAACCTAGCAATACAAATGATATCATTTTTAGGTATAATTTAGCAATACAAACATTGTCATTTTTAGACATAATTTAGCTATACAAATGATGCCATTCCTAGGTATAATCGTGCACTGCTAACGACGTCAAATGTAATCTTTTTTCATTTTTGGGTATAATTTAGCGCTACCTACGTTGTCAAATTTGATCCTTTTCATTTTAAGGTATCATCTAGTACTTATACCAACTCTGTCAAATAATTCAACTATTTCGCTTTCTCAGGTTTGGATGTGCGGAGGAAGCCTGGAAATCGTCCCCTGTTCAGCCGTCGGCCACATCTTCAGAAACCTCATCCCTTATAAAGACGGAGGGCAGATGTTTGTGACTAAGAACAAATTGAGACTTGCTGAGGTCTGGATGGACGAATATAAAGACATTTATTTCAAGTTTGTCAAGAATGTTTCTCACGTAAGTTATTCCTTTTTTAAAATTTGGCAGTTGGTTTGGGCTTTTTCACTGGGTATAGTGGGTATATTTAATACTTTATGTGGTTATTTGTTCTATATTTAGCATGTCATGATATTGCATAGTTCAGAAGACGATGTTTGTATTGAACTAAGCACAAATGATGATGATGATGATGATGATGATGATGATGATGATGATGATGATGATGAT